TGCGGACTCTGCGGGAGCAGGACGATGAGCTGCGCAAGAACGTCACAGGTGCCACTTGTGCTCTCCGCCTGTCCCCCTCTGCCTGTCCCCCTCCGCCTGTCCCCTTCCGCCTGTCCCTCTCTGCCTGTCCCCTCTGCCTGTCCCCCTCCGCCTGTCCCCCTCCGCCTGTCCCCTTCTGCCTGTCCCCCTCCGCCTGTCCCCCTCCGCCTGTCCCCTTCTGCCTGTACCCCCTCTGCCTGTTCCCCTCCGCCTGTCCCCCTCCGCCTATCCGCCTTCCACCTGTCCCCTCTGGCCTGTCTGTGTCCCATGGTCTGCCTGCCCCACCCTTCTTCACCTGTCCCCTCCTCTGCTGTCCCCCTCCATCTGTCCCCCTCTGCCTGTCCCCTTCTCCACCTGTCCCTTCCTCCACTTGTCCCCTTCTCCGCCTGTCTCCCCTTCCACCTGTCCCCTCTGGCCTGGGGGACATGGTCTGCCTGCCCCACCCTTCACCTGTCCCCTCCTCTGCTGTCCCCCCTCCACCTGTCCCTTCCTCCACCTGTCCCCTCCTCCACCGTCCCACTCTGCCTGTCCCCCTCTGCCTGTCCCCCCTTCCACCTGTCGCCTCTGGCCTGTCTGTGTCCCATAGTCTGCCTGCCCCACCCTTCACCTGTCCCCTCCTATGCTGTCCCCCCTCCATCTGGCCCCTCCTATGCTGTCCCCCCTCCATCTGGCCCCTCCTCCACCCGGCCCCTCCTCCACCCGGCCCCTCCTCCACCTGGCCCCTCCTCCACCTGGCCGCTCTACCCCACAACGTCCCTTTGGCCTTTCTGTCCCTCTCTGCACTGGCTGTGTCCCTACCCCTGCTCCCCTTGGACTCTGTCTGCTGTGCATCCCTAGTGACTGTTCTGTGTCTCTTTGGAGCCTCTTCGACCCCCAGGCCCTCTCGTCCCCACGTGCTCTTTCCTGAGCGGTCCCATCCCTGTAGCCCACAAGCCACCCTCACATCTCCCCAGGGGGGTTCTTGGATAGAGCACAAACCCCGGGCCGGCCCTGGGGGAAGGGGAGCCTCCCCCCCACCGTCCCCAGAGAAACAGAGGCAGCCGGGGGTGACCCTGACGGCAGCCCGGCCCCACCTGCCCAGGCATTCTGTGGAACCTTTCATCCAGCGACCACCTGAAGGACCGGCTGGCCCGCGACACGCTGGAGCAGCTCACGGACCTGGTGCTGAGCCCTCTGTCGGGCGCCGGGGGCCCCCCCCTCATCCAACAGAACGCCTCTGAGGCTGAGATCTTCTACAACGCCACTGGCTTCCTCAGGTGCGCGGGTGGGTGGGAGAGGCTGTGCTGGGGGCTGAGAAGATGCGTCTTAATCTGAGGCCTGGATGACAGGTGCAGCCAGCGAGAGGGGCTGGGAGCAGGACACAGGCCAGAGGACGCACGGGCTGGAGCAGGATGGGGGACAGGCCAGGTGTGGCCACCAGGTGTGGCCACCAGGTGTGGTTGGGCGTCAGCAGACTTGGGGGGGCTGCAGGCTCAGGCTTCATTAAAGCTGGCACCTGATCTGACCTCTGTAGCTCCCCCACCGCAGGAGTGGGTTGGGGGATAGGTGGGCAGTGGGGCCAGGGGCAGGAGGCATGGTCGGGCACTGGGGGGCACCCCAGCCCTAGGTAAGGCCTGGGATGGGGGGCTCTGACCTGCCTCCGTCCCCAGGAACCTCAGCTCAGCCTCGCAGGCCACCCGCCAGAAGATGCGCGAGTGCCACGGGCTGGTGGACGCCCTGGTCACCTACATCAACCACGCCCTGGACGTGGGCAAGTGCGAGGACAAGGTGAGGGTGGCCCGCCCGGGGGCCCGGGTGCGCCAGGGGGCCCCTCTGACCGCCCGCCCTCCCTGCCTCCCCAGAGCGTGGAGAATGCCGTGTGCGTGCTTCGCAACCTGTCCTACCGCCTGTACGACGAGATGCCACCTTCCGCCCTGCAGCGGCTGGAGGGCCGAGGCCGCAGGGACATGGCGGGCGTGCCGCCCGGGGAGGTGGTGGGCTGCTTCACGCCGCAGAGCCGGCGGCTGCGGGAGGTGGGTTACCACCACCCCCTCCCCCCACCCCTCACCACTGTCACCCACCTGCACCCCCACCCTGCAACCACCCGCCCTGCCCACCCCCACCTACCCCTGTCACTCCCCACCCTGTCATTCACCCTGCCCCACCTGCCACTCACTACAACCCACCCTGCACCCACCTTACCCTGCACCCCCCACCCTGCTACCACCCACTCTGCAACCTCCACGCTGCACCTATCCACCCCCACCTCCTCCCCACCTGCCACCTCACCCTGCCACCCCCACCTATCCACCCCCACTCCCACTATCCCCCACCCCCCACCCTGGCCTGGGCGGGTGGTGGGCAGGGGTGTCCGGCCACTGGCCCGCTGACTGCGGTGCCCTCCTCCCGAGCAGCTGCCCCTGACGGCCGACGCCCTCACCTTCGCGGAGGTGTCCAAGGACCCCAAGGGCCTGGAGTGGCTGTGGAGCCCCCAGATCGTGGGGCTGTACAACCGGCTGCTGCAGCGCTGTGAGCTCAACCGCCACACCACGGAGGCCGCGGCCGGGGCGCTGCAGAACATCACCGCCGGAGACCGCAGGGTGGGCCGGGGCGGGGCCGGGGCCGGGGCCGGGAGGCAGAGCCTGTGCCAGGGGTCGCAGTCTGGCAGGGAGGGGGCGTCTGAGGTCAGCGCCTGGCGAAGTGTCTTGGGGCCATGTGCGGCCTGGGGCTCCCCGCGGGGGGTCCGGGGAGGCTCCCGATCCCGGTCACCAAGCAGGGACCCCTCGGTGGCAGCAGGAGGCAGAGAAGCGGTTGCGCCCCGGACCTCCGCTGGACCTGAGGGTGGGGGCCTTCTGCTCACACCCCGTCCCCCACCCCGCAGTGGGCCGGCGTGCTGAGCCGCCTGGCCCTGGAGCAGGAGCGCATCCTGAACCCCCTGCTGGACCGTGTGCGGACCGCAGACCACCACCAGCTGCGCTCGCTGACTGGCCTCATCCGAAACCTGTCCCGGAACGCCAGGAACAAGGACGAGATGTGTGAGTCGGGCCTCCCGCCCAGCTGGGCGTCCACCCGGGCCTGGCCTTCTCCCCGTTTGCTGCCTCCCCCGCTGGGCGCGGTGCACAGGCTCGCCAGCTCCCCCGGGGAGGCGGGGGGCCCAGGTGCGAGGTGGCCAGGCGTGGGGGTGAGGACTGACCTCCCGACCTGCCCGCAGCCACGAAGGTCGTGAGCCACCTGATCGAGAAGCTCCCTGGCAGCGTGGGCGAGAAGTCGCCCCCAGCTGACGTGCTGGTGAACATCATTGCTGTGCTCAACAACCTGGTGGTGGCCAGCCCCATCGCTGCCCGGGACCTGCTCTACTTCGACGGGCTGCGGAAGCTCATCTTCATCAAGAAGAAGCGGGACAGGTGAGGCGGACCTGACCCTGCGACCTTGCTACCCTGCGGCAGCCTGGAGGGGCTCTCTGGCCCTCCCAGGCTTCTGGCCATGTGTGTCACCTCCTGACTCCCCCACCCCCAGCCCCGACAGCGAGAAGTCCTCCCGGGCGGCCTCCAGCCTCTTGGCCAACCTGTGGCAGTACAACAAGCTCCACCGCGACTTCCGGGCGGTAGGTTCCTAGAGCCCAGGGCAAGCGGGGCCGTGGGGTGTGGGCCCTGAGTACGCGGCACGGGAGGGGGCCCACGTCAGGGAGGACCGTGGAAACCCACGTGGAGCAGGAGGCCCGGGAAGAGGGTAGTGGGAGGTGGAGACCAGGGACCCGGGAGCGAGGGGTCCGTGCCACGCCAGGCACGCTGGGGCAGACAGCGGGCAGAGGGAGGGCAGGCGCGCACCCTGACTCCCGGCCCCCCACCGCAGAAGGGCTATCGGAAGGAGGACTTCCTGGGCCCGTAGGCGAGACCTCCCGGAGGAGGAGAAGGTGGTGATATGGCCCAGCCTCCGAGGGACAGGCTCAGCTCCGGCCTCGCCAGCCTGGCCTGGAGGAGAAGGCTGACGCCCAAGGGGCTTCTTACAGGGCCCTGTGCAACTTGAGAGGCCTAGGCCACCAGGAGGGGTGGGGCTCACAGCGGGGGACTTGGCTTCTGCAGGGCAGGGGTTGGGGCAGGGCTGAGGCAGCTTGGGTGCGTGGGGCGGAGGTGGGGCCAGCTGCGGCCTGGCAGCACCACAGGGCAGCCGGCCCTGAAATAAAGATGGCAATGAACACATCCACTGGCCCACACACTTCCACAGTGGCCCCACCTGGCTGGCTGGTCCTGGGACTCACGGTGTCCACAAGCACACCCACCTGCCCCAAGGACACTCACGGCCTGAGCTCACACACGAGCCTGCCGAGGTCTGAGGACGCAGGACAGGGGTGGAGCGTGCAGCAGAGGGGCGCTGGCCCTGCAGGGCGGAGAGGGTCGAGGGGCAGCAGGGACAGCCTCGGGGCACCACAGGCACGGCTGCAGCAGAGCTGGGGGCCTGCTGAGTGGAGCGGCTGGAAGCGGGGCTGCCTCGTACAGTGCACTCATGTGGTAACTGCACACAACACCCTTGCTGCCTGCCAGGGGCCAGCACCAGGGGACTCAGGTCTGCCCCTGTGCCTGGCCAGGGACTCCCACGCTGGCCACTGAGGCTCTGGGACCCCAAGCCTATCCCCACCTACCTTACCCAGAGCCAGGCCATTTGGTTGTGAAGCCACTGTTGCTATCGTTATAACAAAAAGCTTTTGCAAAGCTCAGAAGTTGAGGGCAGATGTGGACACCCCTCCAGGACGTGTCCAGATTGGAGGGAGACTGGGGACGTCACACCCCCAAGCAGGGGCCAGGCAGGGAGACTGGAGGCCCTGAGCTGCTCAGGACGGTGGATGGGCAGACGTGGTGACTGGCCGGCACGGTGGATGAGAAGGGGTGTGGAGAGCCCAGAGGCCAGCCAAGGGGAGGCTGAGGGGGCTCCGCCCAGGACAGCACAGGCCCCTTCCGCCCCAGGAGAGGATAGCAAGGCCCAGGCAGAGTCCAAAAAACAACTTTATTTTCTGGCATTAGGAGGAAGCTCGGTTCAGACCCCTCCCCTGAGGGTCCAGGCTTACAGGGTCCAGGATGGGGTCCTGGTCCTGCCTGTTGCAGAAACGACCCGCCTGCCTCTGCCCCCAGATGTCCCTGGTGATCCTGCACGCGGGGGTGGGGTGGGGGCTACACGTCATCTTCAGACACCAGGCAGTAGAAGTCCGTGCGGGCGCTGTAGTTTCGGGAGCCGAGGTCCGAGACGTCCACTTCACTGCCCGGGCCCTCTCCCAGCGAGACCCCACCTGCGTGCGGTGGAGCTGACGGCTCCCCAAAGACGGGCCCTCGGACACCTGGGGAGGGGATATGGCCACACCTGAGGCTGGGCTGTCCACAGTCTGCCTTCCCTGGAGCCACTGCCCTGGGGTCAGTCCCTGCTCACGCCCGCCATGGGGCCACTCGAGGTTCAGAAAGTCTCCGGGCAGGCCTTGGGCCTGAGCACCTCCAGGGGAGAGGCAGCGAGGGCTTCTGGGGGGCATCAAGCCCGTCCCTGGGCTGCAGGGTGCTCAATGCTGGGAGCATGTCCCTTTCTGGGCCCTCTGCTCTGTGGCTACCCATCCACCCCAGGCTGAGCTGCTCGGGTCAGGAGCGGGCTGGGTGGGCTTACCCAGGTCCCCCTCAGGGTCAGGATCCAGCTCTGGGTCTAAGGTCCGGCCCCCTGGGACGCGGCCTCGAACAATCAGCATAGGATCCTTGTCGTCCTGCCCCCGTGTCTGGGGGTCTCCCTCCACCGGCCTGTAGTGCACCTTCCGCGGCAGGGCCAGCTGCAGCTCTTTCCAGAAGTCGGAGGAAGGCGTCTGGGGGCCAGGGTGGGGCCATTTGCATGTGAACACACGGGAGGGGGGGGGCGCAAATGGAGGCCCCTGGAGCACCCCCTGCAGCGGACCCACGGTTCCCACCCGCGCTCCGCCCGCTCTCTCCTCTGGGGCAGGCCACGGAACCTCCCTCAGAGCCCACTCACAAAGCCCCCATCCCCAGGGCGCCCGCCGCCCCCGCGCCCTCCCGCACCCCAGCCCCCGCCCTGGCCCGCCCGAGCCCGCACCACGGAGCCGGGCCTCCAGAGCAGCAAGGTCACCAGGTGGCGGTGCTGGCGCAGCAGGCGGAGCGCGGGGTGCGCGGGGTCGCGCCTCTGGCCCTCGAAGGTGATGAAGATGGGTTTGCGCGTGAGCTCCAGCAGCCGGCACAGGCCCTCCCTGCGGGGCGGGACCGTCAGCGCGGGCGTGGCTGGGGCCCGCCCAACCCCGCGCGGGACCCACCGGAAGCTGTGGCTGCACCAGGCCCGGCCCAGGAAGGCGTCCGAAAGCACCACGATGAGGCGGCGGCAGCGGCTCAGGTTCACCAGGAGGTCGGCCGAGGGCTCTGCGGGAAGCGGGCGTCAGAAGGGCCCGCGCGGAGAGGGCGCCGGAAGCTACGGGCTGGACCGGGCCCCGAGCGGCGGGGCGGGGCCTGCAGGTGGGCGGGGCGGGGCCTGCAGGTGGGCGGGGTGGGGCCGGCGGGGAGGGGCCTGCAGGTGCGGCGCGTGCTGGCGGGGAGGGGCCTGCAGGTGGCCGGGACGGGGCGGTGCCGGCGGGGAGGGACCTGCAGGTGGCCGGGGTGGGGCCATACCTGCGCGGGGCAGCAGGTCGCGGTCGTCCAGGAAGAGCTTGTAGCCCCGGCGCCGCTCCAGCTGCGGCTTCAGGATGAAGTTCACGAACTTGCGGTCCTCAGGGCAGTCGCTGTAGGAGACGTAGGCGTCGTAGAGCTTCCCGTCTGCGGACGGCGGCCAGTCAGCGCGGCCGCCCCCGGGCCCCCAGCGTCTGGGCTCCCCTAGCCCTCTGCCATGGGTGCGCCCCTGCCGCCGACTCTAACCCCTCCCGTTCCACCGACCGGGCCCTGCGCCCTCGTGCGCCCACGGAGCCCTCCAGGGGTGAAGTCGCCCCGCCCTGCCCCGCTTCTCCCCCACGCAGAACTGAGCCCGCCTGGCCCACCCGCCTGGCCCTCCCGCCGGCGGGCCCCGCGCACCGTTCATCTCCACCTCCCCGTGCGTGTCTTGATACCAGAGCAGCACGTTCAGGCGGCACTTGACGTAGATCAACGTGGCCAGCAGCAGCGCCAGCAGGACCAGGAGGGAGGCCAGCACTGCCGCCAGGTGGCCTGCCGGGCCTGTGGGCGGGTCGCCTGAGCACTGCCCCCAGCACCCTCCACCCCCAGGTCCCCCCCACTCTCTGCCCAGGGCACCCCCATCACCAGCTCTGCGCAGAATGAAGGGGGAGGAGCTGGCGTTCTGGATGGAACAGGTGAAGGCCCCGTAGTCCTCGGCACCGGTCAAGTTGACCCCCAGAACACTGGAGACGAGCATCTCGGACACGTTAGGCTTGACCCTGGGGATACCAAGCCCCACCCTCTCACCTGGGGCTTTAGAGCATCCGTGGACACCCCAGAGCCTCACCTGTGGGGACTCACCCAGAGAAGCCACTGATTTGGGCTTCCTGGGTGGTTCTTGGGCCATAAGCTAAGAGAAGTGACCAGAACCTGGAGGGGATGTGGGTCTGCTTCTGGACAGTCACCCCAGGCCCGGGCGTGGGGCCTGCAGGTCTTCTGATCTGGGTTTGGCTGATGTTCATTCAGGCTCTAGGACTCGGCTGACACCCACAGCCCTGGGGAGTCTCAGGTGCCACACAGACCCCAAGGTCTGTCCCCGGGGTCACCAACTCTCCCCACCTGTGTCCACAGCAGCACTCCGGCCAGTCACTACCCAGCCCATGGCCAGGTGCTTCTAGACCAGGTGTGCATCAGGCTGCTGGCTATGGTCTGTCCAGATGGTCCCTCTAACCCTGGACACCCCGGTCTCTTACCAGGAGTACCCGTGGAGGCTGTAGTGGCTTCCATTGCCCAGGGGGAGCCCGTCTTTCAGCCACTGGACTGAAGGCAGGGGGCAGCGAGGCCCAGAGACCACCCGAGCCGTGCAGTTCAGAGCAACAGCACTGCCCAGGCCAGGCCCCAGGACCTGGTCTTCAGTGGGGGAGAGGAAGTCAGGGGCCCCATCACAGACACCTGAAGAAAGAAGACACAGCAGGTCAGCATGCCAGGATGCCAGACCCTGCCCATCCCAGAGAGTCTGTGGTGCAGGAAGAAGCAAGGTGGCGAGTCACGTGTGTGGCCTGGTGGTCACACCATGGCTATCATGAGTACCATGGGCGAGGGCCCAGCACTTGGCACGTCTTCCCCCAGTGGTGGTCAGACCTTGCATGTGCTGCTTGCCCTGCCTGTGCCTGCCCTGTGCTCAGAGGGGACACCTGTTTGGGAGGGGACAGTGTCCAGGGTCACAGTCAGGCTGACTGAGCCCCACCACACAGGGCCCATCCGGCTGCTGGTTCACCCAGGACATGCATCCAGCCCCCCGTTTCCCATGTGTACCTGTTGCCCACCTTAGAGGAGAGCCAGGCCCTGTACCTTCAGCCCACCTGGCTCTGCTAGGGGAGCTGCAGGGAGTGTGGACACATGTGGGTTTGGGGGCTCAGGTGCCAGCAGAGCTGGAACCTTGGGCTCGGGGGCCCTCTGCTCCTGGCCACACGCAAGCCCTCCCCACCTCCCTGAGGCCTGAACATCTCATCTTTGCACCAGGGTGGTGAGCCCTAGTGGAGTAGACCACCCTCTTCTTGGTAGATTGTGGTCTCCTACCAGCCTCCATCCAATCCCGGTGGCCCACCAGTGCCCACTCCTGGCATTTCCTGGGCCTTACGGACCCCCATGAGCTTGGTCTGGAGGCCTTGGGCATGAGAGGGCTCGGGGCCCACCCACACCGCTGGCCCTGGGTTCAGGACTAAGGGCACAGAGGAGGGCTGAGCAGAGGCCTTTGTACCTCCGGCACACAGCCAAGCAGAGAGCCTGGGTGAGAGCAGGGAGCGAGGTGCGGGCAGCCTGGGGGACAGGAGGTGGGAGTGGGACTCGCACCTGTCCCTCCCTCTCTGACCTGCCTACCTGCCATGGCTCTGGCTGGGGTGTCCTCACGGCGGGCTGAGCACTGGTGCCACGCCCAGCTCCACGGGGCTCCTTGGCAGAGCAGACTGGGCCACCAAGGGCTGGCAGCACTCCTCTCTGTCCTTGTGGTCGGTTGGACGGGGCACCTGGATGGGTCAGAGGCTGCCGCCATCCCCAGGGAACAAGTTAAACAGGAACAGAGTGAGTTAACTAGTAACCATCGGCCACAAGCAGCACTGGCCCTGCGTCAGGTACCACTCTACCAGCCTCATGGCTGCCAGCAGGGCTCCCACTTGCCAGCTTGGGGTTGCTCTGAGTTCCTTACACAGGGCCAGAATAGGGACCACCTCATGTGGCTCGGGGACACAGGACAACCTCCACCCCAGGGCCACCATGATGGCCAGGGGCACAGTGGACATGCACCAGGGGGACCCATCCCACCAGGCAGCCGTTGGCTTCATTCCTGGCAGTCTCCTGCAGCAGGGCTGCCACACACACAGGTGGGTGCTGCAGTATCCATGACAACCAGGCCCTGGGGGGCCAGGGGTGAGCAATGTGTCCCCCACAGCAGGGCAGGTGCCCAGCCGCCTGGCTCTGGCCCACACTTGCTCCCAGCTGTGGGCTTTTGTTCCGGGTGCGGTCAGGAGTGCGAACATGCACGCACATGCAGGACACCCGCAGACACCCCGGGCTCAGCTGTGCCCTGAGGTCCTGGAGGCAGGAGGGACCAGTGGGGCCAGGCTGAGGCAAAGGCCAGACTGAAGGGTCTCACAGCCACCCCTTCTTCTGGGTCCCAATCCCATGCCCTCTCCATGGCCTGGCTTGTCTTTCCCAAACCCAGAGACCTTGTCCACATTGTCCTGTCCAGCTCTCCATGGGAAGCCCCTGCCCCACCCAGAGGTGACGCTTCTCCTATGCAGGGTCCGGGACCATTCCCAGCCATGTCCCTCGTGACTCACAGAGCTCTGCAGCAATGTGGCTGCAAGGAGGAGGTGCCCTGGGCCCTGGGGGTCCCCTCCCCCCTGGGCACCCCAGGCTCACCCCCCCCCGTTTCTCCAACAGGCATTGCATGAGTGCCTCTGACCATCCCTGCTGCATGGACACACTGGGAGTGGGGCACAAGGATTGGGCCCCAGGCTTTGTGACCCGGCTCCCTGGGATGTCTCCACCTCTAAGGCCCCAGAGACTTTGACAGGGAAAACCCTCTTAGTTTGCCCCGACCCTGTTCCTTCTGCAGAACCATGAGGCACAGCCAGAGCCTCAGGTTTGGCTGGGTCACAACTTCCAGGGGAACTGATAGAGCCTGAGGTGTGTTCCCTGGGGCATGGGCAAGGGGTCCTTGCAGAAGCCCTTTGGGGTGGCAGACAGTCCCAGGAAAGTCCTTGAAGCAGGAGAACTGCCCACTTAGGGACTGTCAGAGACACTCCCCAGTGCAGCCAACTCTCACAGCATGCCCAGCAGGTCCCAGGCGTCCCCTGCAGTGGCCGCTCAACCTCCCCCAGCTCAGACCTCGCACCCCTGCCAAGGCAGCCTCAGACTCTTCTTTCTGGAATTTGATGCCACAGTGCTAGGATATGAGTATGGCAAGCACCAGGTACCCTCCCCTGCACACCCTCTCCTGCATCCTCTCTCCTGCACAGCCTCCCTGCACCCTCTCCTTGCACCCTCTCCCTGCACACCCTCCCCTGCATACCCCTACACACAGCCCTCTGGCCCGTGCACACCTGCACTGAGGTCCACGCTCAGCCCATGTGTGCTCTCGCAGGCTCCCACATGACACACTTCCTACCACCTCCCATTAGCACCTGGTGTGCCTCCTGGGCACACAGGACACTTGGAACTCCTCTCGAAAAGTGCAGGGCCGCAAGCACCCTGCAGCCCACATGCTGTATCTCACACCCACCCCTGGCCACCAGTGCCACACTGGCAGCCTCCCGCTGCCCTCACTCTCTCTCACACACACACGCACACACACGTGTGCGTGTGCCCCGTGTGCTACAGGCCTCCCCTCACCACACCCGGCTCTAAGGATAGGCCCTGACACAGGCTCACTCAGAGCAGCAGAGAGGGCAGAGTCACCTGGTTCCAGCTCTTTCCTCCTGGGGAGAGACGGCGGTCACGGATGTGCATTTGGGAGCAAACTCTCCCCTCGGAGGGGCCCCGGGGCGTCCACAGCACCACGGCTGCCCAGCATCCACTACCAAGCACAGTGAGGACCTGGCTTTTGTTTATGTGTATTTTAATCAGAACTTTCCCCCGTAGCTTCCTGGCCTTGCAGTCACATCCTCTCCTCAACCTAAACCCCACCCAGGCACCCACCCCTTCCCCGGCGGGCGGGCGGGCAGTTGGTGGTTCTCGCCCCGCCTGCCCCGGCTCTTCCTGTAGCTCTGAGTCAGGCAGCTCCTTCCTCTGCGGCCCACCCAGCCCACCAGGCACCGCACTTTCCTCTGTTCAGTGTGTGTGTGGGTGCTCAGAGAGGCAGGGGCTGGGGTGATGTGGGAGGGTCCTGCACACACACACACACACACACACACACACACACACACACACACACACACACGGAGGACCAGCGGCAGTGCAACCTGCCTCCTGGACACCCCCATGACGCCACACTCAACATTCAGGAGGGCTGGGTGCGGTGGCTCATGCCTGTAATCCTAGCACTCTGGGAGGCCGAGGCAGGCGGATTGCTCAAGGTCAGGAGTTCTAAACCAGCCTGAGCAAGAGTGAGACCCCCGTCTCTACTATAAATAGAAACAAATTAATTGGCCAACTAATACATATGAAAAAAATTAGCCGGGCATGGTGGCATGTGCCTGTAGTCCCAGCTACTCGGGAGGCTGAGGCAGAAGGATCGCTTGAGCCCAGGAGTTTTAGGTTGCTGTGAGCGAGGCTGACACCACGGCACTCACTCTAGCCTGGGCAACAAAGCGAGACTCTGTCTCAAAAAACCAAACAAAAAAACATTCAGGAGGGGAGGGGTCATCCAGGTCCCTCCAGGCCTAAGAGAGCACCCCTGACCTTCGGGGGATGGGGGGAAGGTTCAGAAATTCCCAGCTCATAATGGGGCCTCAAGAGGCCTCTGCCCTCTGTCCATCTCCCAAGCGTGTCTCCCAGGTGGGCCAGTGGCTGCAGGGAGCCGTGGCATCTCGTGCACCCTAGCTCCAGGCTGGGTGGGCTGGGGTGGGAGGGCAGTGCCCTGTTCCAGGTAAGGGAGCAAACCCAGGAGGCCATGGCAGAGGCTCTGAGCAAGGTGAGGGGCAGCTGGCATCTCCTGTTGTCACAGTGACCCCCCACACACCCCAGATTGACTTGGGGCCAGTATTGCCCATAGACTAGGACAGGGGTCCCCTTCAGTCCCTGGCACTGTCCTCACCTGCACAGGAGCAGGGACTGGTCCTGGAGGGGTGCCCTCTATCCTCCCTGCTCAGCAGAAGAGTGGCTTCCCCATAGCCTTACCTCACCGCCCAGTCCTGCTCAGACAGACCCTCCTGTGGCCTGGCACCCAATGTTAGGCAAAGGTGCACCTCGGGCTCAGGGTGGGAAAGAGCTGGAAGGGACAGCACCCCTCCCAAACGGGCCTCAGCTCCCTCGGCACACTTTGGGGGTGCCCCAGCGGGCCCTCCTGAGCGCCGATGCACCTCCCCAAGGGGTAGTGCAGTGTTCCCCCACACTGCAGGTCGGGAAGCTGAGGCACAGCTCCGAAGGAAGCCCACAGGCAGGTCCTCCAGCCAGAGGCCCCGCCCCCAACCCGCCTCCCCATCCCTGGAGCCGGCGCCAACCCTCCGCTCTGCGGGCTAGGCTGTGCCCCCATCTCTCCAGGCTGGCATGACGGGACTTGACGCCCCTCTCCTTCCCTCCCTGGGATAGCGGCCCCCGCCACGTCCTACCCCTCCCCCTACCATGTCCACTCCCTAGGGCGACCGGAATCTGCGTCCAGGCCTGTCCCCTAGGTCACCCTGCACTGCCCGCCACACTCTGTCGTTCCTAGAAAGCGCCAGCTCCTCCTGCTCTCAGGCTCTGCACTGGCTGCGCGCCGGGGAGAGCCTCCCGGACGGCCCGGCCCCCGACCAGCGCTCCCTTCTCCCCCAGCCACGTCGGGTTCGCTGCTCAGCACCCCGCAATCTCTGAGCGTCTCCCGCGTGTCCCGGACGCGCCGCCCCTCCGCCCCTGGCGCGTGCCAGACCCCACACGCCTCCCCTGAAGGAAGGAACGTGCGTAAAAAGCTGCAGCCCGCGCGCCCAGGAGCTCCGTCTCGCTTCCCCACCCACGACGACCAGCTCTCTCCCACCAGGCTCCACATCCCGCGCTCGGCTCACTGCAGGGTGGACGGCCTTGCTGCCCCCACCCTCTGGTGCGGTGAGCCGGCGGCTCGGGAACGCGCACGGAGCCTGGGGAGCGCGCAGACGGCGAATGTGGACGCGCACCGAGGCGGGGAAGCAGATGACTGGGAGGGCAGCGGAGGGCGGAAGCTCCGCCGCCGGCGGCGCCTCAGGAAGCCTCAGGCCTGGGGTCTGGGCTTGTGGGGCGGAGGTGGGGTCCCTGCGCGCCTTGGCACTCCTCGCCCCTCCGCTCTCCTGCGCTGAGGGTTCACCAGAAAGCCACGGGCCACGTCGGGCAGAGCGGAAAGGGCGGCCCCCGGGCCCCTTCCCCCGAGGCCGCGAAGGGGCAGGGACTCGGGCGAGCTCGGGCTTCCGGGCGACGCGGGGAGCCTGCTTGGCTCGAGCGGCTTCCTGGCGACCGCGCCCTGAGGCCCCTAGCTCCAGGCCTGGAGCGGCTCGGGGAGACGGCGACCTCCACTCACCTCCGCGAGTCTGAATCGCGACTTCCACTCACCTGCTGCCGGGACCTGGGGCTCGCGCGGCCGCGGGGGCAGGGCGGCTCACCTGAGCCAGGTGCGCAGCGGCGACAGCACGGGCGGCTGCAGGTGCGGCCCCGCCCCGCAGCCAGGGTGAGGGCTGACCCAAGTGTCCTGCTTGCGCCTGAGGCTGGCGCTGAGACTGCCTTGCGCTCAGCCCCGGGAGCCACGGCCGCCTGGGCCTGGGGGCAGTGGCCAAACCGGCCCAACCAGCTCAGGAGAGTCCGCCACCCGCAGGGGCACCTTTGCGGCTCTGCCGCCATCCCCTAGCGTTTCCCGCTCCTCCAGGAAGCCTGTCTCGGCCACCACTCGCCCCAACCAACGCTGCCGGCCACCACTCGCCCCACCAACGCTGCCGTCCTTTCTGGCCACCCCAAAACCCCAGGTGGAGGGAGGAACAGGTGGCCTGAGGTTACTGCCACATTCCAGACCTTGCAGCCTCTGGCCTCAGTTTCTCACCTAACCCTGAGGGCAAACACAATCCACTGGGGCCCAGAAAGCAACAACAAACAGGTTTGATTTTATTACAGAAAATTATGGCTGAAGGGAGCCAGGCCTATGCAGAGACAGGCAGAGAGGTGGGCTCAGCCTTCCCCCAGCCAGTATGGGGGCAGCGCCAGGCCTGGGGCTCGGAAGTCAGAGGGATACCCAGGACACCACGGCTGGATTTTCTGCATTGTGACGGCAGAGGAAGCCCCCATCAGTTCTGTGGGTGCTGGGCCCCCAAGACCCCTCAGATGGGGCAGGCCCCACAGGGCGGCTCTGTAGACATATGGAACTCCAGTGGCCCCTCACACGCTCGGGCCTTCTAGGAGCCCCTTATATGCAGCCTTCCTACAACACGCCTCAACACACACACTCAGCGTTGGGCAGGGGTGGGAGGCTGCAGCGGCTCGAGTCTCAGCTCCCAGTGGCTCTCGCCCCTGGTCCCCTACACCTCAGTGCTCCTGGTGCTGGCGTGGGAGAAGGAGGCCAGGCCAGCCCCCGCCCAGCTCTGCCTCCCTTTCCACATCTTCTCCCGGAGCCTCCGGAACTTATCCTCCAGGACTTTGTTCTTCACCGACTGAGGGATGTCGGGCACGAACCAGGCGGCGATGAGCTTGATGCACAAGGCCACGTGCTGGGGGCACGGTCGGGACAAGCAGGGGTTTCAGGGATTGGGGCCAGGGAGGAGGGCAGAGAGGGAACTTCCCCATCCCCAGCCAGGGGCCCCCTCCCCCTAGCTCTGGCTCACCTCAAAGAGGATGACAAAGGCCAGGCGGATGGCCAGGAGGAACCAGAACTGCTCCGAGAAGTTGTAGTCATGGGCGTTGCGGTAGTCCCTGTACCTGGTGTAGGGAAGTGCTGGAGGTCAGGGGGCAGGAGTGCAGAGGGCATTCGTGGGGGATGGGGGGTTCCACACCTGCACTCGGTCACGTTTTCCGAGCCCTCTATCCCAGCGGGGTCCTGGAAGTCCTTGGTGTAGAAGATGGACAGGCTGTGGTTGACGTAGCCTGTGAGGCAGCTGGAAAGAGGGGAGAGGAGTGTGGGGTAGGGGGGCTGCAAGGTGTGGCCCCTTCAGGCCCCTGGGAGCGAGCCTGCCTCAGTGGGGGCAATCAGGGCAGGGCACTGCACAGACCACCTCATCCATATCCCTACGTGGGAAAGGGCCGCTGGCCAAGCACACCGCCACACCTGGGGGACCCCTGGGACACCACCAGCTGCCGTCCTGGCCAGGGCTAAGGGGAGTCTTGGGGGGGACTGACCCTCTGGAGACCTGGTCTGCAGCTGTGATGGCCCCTTGAGGGCCAGAGCAGTTGGGTGAGACTCTGCTCTGCCCTCCCACACCAGAAGCAAGGACCTAGTTTGGGAGCGGAGCGTTCTGGTGGTGCCTGCTCAGAAAACAGCTGGAGCTGGGACCTGCACCCCCAGTGAGGGCCTAGGTCAGTCATCCCTGAGCTCCAGCCCAGGGTCTGCAGGTTAGGGCAGGACAGCGCCACCCCTCCCCCCACCCCGCAGGTGATCCAGCCATTCCCTGGATAAAGGGTTGGGGCTCCCCTGGGGCTTGGCTGTGGTGGGGCCAGTTCCTCCCAGGGGTCAGACAGCTTGAGGCCTTACTCAACTTCAGAGTGAGCCCCCTGTCGGCACGGGCCATAGCGGTACTTGTAGACCACTCTCGGGATGAACTCAGACGTGAAAGCAATGACCATCCCGTTGGCGATGACCGCTAGCACACCGATGGTCTCCAGAACCTGCAGCCAGGTCCCTAAGCCGGAGCAGTGGGTGAGCCGGTCTGACTCCTCAAGCCCCCACCCCAGCGCTGGGAGCCTGGCTGGCCAAGGGGCCTTGTCATGTCTCTGTCCCTGGCACCCGTGGGCCCAAGGTGTGCATTAGGACATGCCCATCACAGACAGAACATGCCACAGCCCCCCTGCACCCCACCACCATGATGTGGACAGGGAGCGGTCCAGGTGTCCCCCGATTCTGCAGGGGGGACCTCTCAGATGCCCAAGCCTACTCCACCTCCTGGGTCCCCACTCTAGGGAAGCGGGACCCCTTAACCTGGGGCCAAGACTGGGGCCCTCCCTAACACCTCTCTCTCCCTCTCCCCACATCCAGCATGGGTCAGAAGCTGCCTGGCCCCAGCTCCCGCCCTCCTCAGGGCGCCGACGCGGTGGGGGCCTGACCGATGTCCTTGGCGGTGCGCGGTACTAGCCGCCGCTGCAGCCGCACCATCTTGATGGCGTCCAGGCGGATCTCCACGAGGTTGCTGAACAGCGCCAGCAGCGGCGCCAGCGGGAAGGCGGCCACGAAGATGGTGGTGAAGCCGTACTGGATCACTGCGGGGGGGGGGGGGTCAACGGTTCAGGACAGGCGCCGCGCTCGCGCCCCGCACGGCCTCCCCCCTGCGCCCTCGCCCACCCACCGCGTCTACACCCCTCCCCCAGCCTCGATATGCTCGCCACATGCCCCATGCGCCCCGCACCCAATGCGCCCCGCGCCCCCCACGCCCCGGACTCCACGTGCCCCTTGCCACACGCACCCCTCGCCCCACGCACCCCTTGCGCCACGCACCCCTCGCCCCACGCACCCCTCACACCCCCCCCAGCCTCAATATGCTCGCCACATGCCCCATGCGCCCCGCGCCCCCCACGCCCCGGACTCCACGTGCCCCTTGCCACACGCACCCCTCGCCCCACGCACCCCTCACACCCCCCCCGCCTCAATATGCTCGCCACATGCCCCATGCGCCCCACGCCCAATGCACCCCGTGCCCCCCACGCCCCAGACTCCATGCCCTCCCACTCCCCTCACCCCCCATGCCCCTCGCCCCCGCGCCCCCTCCCTGGACCCCCAACTCCCTCACCCCACGACCCTCGCGCCCCCATGCCCCCCCCGCCCCAGCCCCTCGTCCCTCATCCCCTGCGCCCCACTCCCCACGCCCCCACTCCCCGCGCCCCCGCCCCTCATCCCTCGTCCCCGCGCCCCACGCACTCATCTCCATGAACTCGTCGAACAGGCTGAAGGGATAGACGGAGTTCAGGAGGTAGTTGCGCTGCCAGTCCCTGAGCTCGGGGTCCTGGGGCTCCAAGGCGAACAAGCAGCGCCAGCGGTGTGCCAGCCACCTGCGGGTGGGCAAGGACCACCGCGTGGGCGGGGAGGAAGCGGGGCTCGCGCAGCCGGGGCGGGCAGGGGAAAGGCGGGGCGGGACGGCGGGGCGGGCTCTCACGGGCACAGGTACTCGAAGCAGTTGCTGAGCGTCTGCTTGAGGCCCATGATGATGGCCATCTGCAGGAACAGGTCCATCATGCAGCCGCTGAGGTGGCACTGCGGGGCGGGGCGGGCGCTGAGGGGCTGTGTGTTGGAGGGGTCCGGGCGGGCTGAAGGGCCACTGTGCGGGGCGGGGCGTCGGGGAGGGTAGCTCCGCACTGACCTCCTCTAGCTTCCAAAGGCCGGCCAGGCGCGTGGACTTCCCAGGGTGGCCGTTGATCCTGGGGAGGAAAGTGAGGCCTGGGGGAGGTGGGGGCTGCGCCTGCTGGCAGGGTGGGGGTGGAGCAGGACCCAAGAGGGGAGGGGGCAAGCAGAGGGGAGATCAGCCGCCCCCCAGACAGGCTCACGGGCTCGGACACATTCTAGGCAAGGTCTGTTAGGGGTGGCCTCAGTTGCTTCCCATAGAGATTGCACAGGAGGGCCGGGCGCAGTGGCTCACGCCTGTCATCCTAGCACTCTGGGAGGCCGAGGCGGGAGGATCACACAAGGTCAGGAGTTTGAAACCAGCCTGAGCAAGAGGGAGACCCCGTCTCTACTAAAAGTAGAAACAAATTAGCTGGACAACTAAAAATATATAGAAAAGGCCGGGCGCTGTGGCTCACGCCTGTAATCCTAGCTCTTGGGAGGCCGAGGCGGGCGGATTGCTCAAGGTCAGGAGTTCAAAGCAGGCGAGTTCCAAACCAGCCTGAGCAAAGGAGCGAGACCCGTCTCTACTATAAATAGAAAGAAATTAATTGGCCATGAATACTATATTATAAAAAATTAGCCGGCATGTGGTGCACTGCTGTAGTCCCAGCTACCCGGGAGGCTGAGGCAGAAGGATCACCTGAGCCCAGGAGTTTGAGGTTGCTGTGAGCTAGGCTGACCGCGCACCACCACTCGAGGCCTGGGCAACAAAGCGAGACTCTGTCTCAAAAAAAAAAAAAAAACAAAGATAG